TATGTGTTTTATTAGAACTCAACAGTAACCACACCAATTGTTAAGACTTTAGGCCAACCAAAGAGATTTTTCAGGAAAGAGAATTTTATCACTGACATTTGTTTAGAATAACTAGCACATGGTGGTATTAAAAAGTAGACTCATTGTTAGTTTTATTATTATTTTTTTTCCAACCCACCTTTGGTGGATCATGGGCAATAAAAGAATGTGAAATCAATTCTGGAATAAGAAATAAAATCTCAAAGAAAGGAAAGCAGAGAATTACAAAAGATAAGAGGACACATGTTCAAATTTTACCTCCCTCTCAAGAATGTCAACATCCTGCAAAAAAGTCTACTTTTCAGCTGTAATTTAAGTAAAAGATGTGGCAACTGTATTAAACTAAATTGTAAATAAAAATGGCATATGGGTTTTTAAATAATATTTGAAGATAACACTACTATTTTTGATTGACCCCATAAGTAGAATAATTTATTCCTATTTTCTTAAAAATGATACCAAAGAACACAAAAATTCTTTAATAGGAGCTACAAATAAAGAGATCCTCTTATTGACAAAGAAGTAAACCCATTTGAACGCTGCCAGGAAACCCAGGCTATCGAGCGTTGTTCCGGGTTCTACCTGACCCCCTCCTCCCTGTGGTCAGCTGGCAATCTTTTCTTAATTCCAGAAGACTGACCCACACAGCCACTCATGTCTCAGAGAACAAATAGCAAATCCAGCTGTGAAGCCACGGGAAACCTGACATCTGCTGGCACTGAATGACACAGAACGCTGTTTGTCTGCAACAACAGAGTCCCGAATGACATTGAATGCGAAGTGCAATCTTTTCCTAAACCTAGTCTGGAGGTTCGGATCAAAAACAAATCTGTAAAATGAGTCAGGGGTCTTGCAAGCCCCAAATATTTTGCACAGTCCTATTTCCAAGGCAGATATTTGATTCAACTAAATTTAATTCATTTCAATCCACCTAGTGGTGACCTCCATGCCAGGTCCTGTGCTGGACAGTAGGGGGAGGGAGAGGGACTATAAATAAAATAATCCCTATATCAAATGCAAACAGTCCAGAAGGGGAGACCACAGACACTCTGAACTAAATAGTGCCCAGGAATACAAAAGAAACACAGAGGAAAGTCAAGACCAACAACCATCTGGAAGATCAGGCAAAATGAGAAAGAACAGGGCTTAAAATACAAATAGCAGTTCACCAGGCAGGAGACGGTATTATCAATACCACGGAATATCATGTCAAGTTACCTTATTCATGAGGACATTTCATATCAAAAACAATATCCATCATTTTTATTTCAATGAGACAGACACTAAGAAATTCATAATATTCATTTCTTTCTTTGTACACACAGTAAAACATGTATGAATAAAAGCATTTATAAACAAATGGCCCATTTACTGAGGAATCACTTTGTCCTAGACATCACAATGGGTGTGCTAGCCTTATAATATACACTAAATATTATATATTATCTTTACAATGAAAAACTCTTAGATCAAGGTGGCCTGGCTCATCAATTTGAGACAGGAGAAGAGGGCTAGAATTTAAATTGGTGACAGAAAAACACTACACACTTTCTGCTCAGGCTATTGGATAAAAAAGGCCTCCCCAAGATCAAAATCATCAAAACCAATGCAAGCAAGGCTGAACAAAACTCAGTGATGGAGACTAACTGGGACCTTCATTTAAATGCATTTTTTTCCATGTTGAAAAACATACCCAGAGGAGAGACCTACCACACTTTTAGATACATCTTTGACCCTGGGCAAGATGGCAGTGCACAAAGAGACTTCAACAGAATCATGAATAATGCTATGTAACATAAATACACAAATTCCTGATGCACAACTGTAAATGGTGTTCACATTCGAGCTTGGCCGCTGTCTATGGAGTGGTCGTTTTGCCTGCCTACTTTGCCAGGCTCCTCTGCCTATAGACTAACCGCCTTGCTGTATTAATCAATGCAACAACTGATGCTTTCCAACCCTTTCTGTTAATGGTGTTTGGTTTCTATCCTGTGGGAGCTAATGGATCTGCTGAACCAGCAACAAATGGTTCAGCCAGTTTCCAAACAAGGTTTGGCTAATGCCAAGGGTCCTAGTCTTAATCACCATGGCAAATTTCCTCTTTCATAAGTCACCTATCTACACCAATCTCTTGTTTGTCTACTTAATAAAAATCTTCAGATTACAGAGTCACGTCCATGCTGTGCTGTGCATTTGAGCTAAGTTCCTTCTCATCATTGCTTAAACCAGGGCCCCCCCCTCCTCCCAGCATTCACCAAATCATAAAGAAAATGTGTGAGTTACATGGGGAAGTGGGAAGATGTTTGGTTTGCAGGACTTGGATTTCCAGTAGAGCTCTTGGGGTCTGGGGATTCCCTGCTTCCAAAGACCTCAATTTCCTACTTAGCCAAAGGAAGAGAAACTACCGCTGAAATGACTCAAGAAACTTAAGATAATTTAATACTTTTTGTGCTTCATCCCACTTAAGATTTTTCTGATGAATGTACAGGAGAACTAAATGCACTCCATGGACGGAACCCAGAGAAAATGCCTTTCCAAAGCTCAGAGGGCATCCAAATATTAGCACATTCAAAAAAATGCTTGTATGAAAAATTTTAAAAAGGAAGAAAATGAGGTAGCAGGGGTTGAGGGGACCCATGTGAAAACAAAGCCCCACTGAAATGCTGAGGTCAAAGACGGGGAAGGAATCCCAATCTTGCCAATTTTTCCTGCTGAGCTGATTGACTGTCCCCACTTTCTCCAGCCCCTGATTTCTCCCCATTGCTCAAAAGAAAATGGTGGTCCACCTAATTTCCCCCTCATCAAAAACAGCCCCTAAACAGCCAGACTAGGATCTCCAAATGTGGCAATTTTCTTGCCTTTTAAGGAAATTATATCAAATTGTAGTTGGAGGGGAAAAAAAAAAAAAACTGGCTACGCATCCTTTTAAAAGTTCAGAACGAAATTATGGGTTTGGACGCACAGGAAGAAGGAACTTGTTTTAATGTGACTTTAAACTAGTTGAGGCTGCTGCAAAACTGCTGCGTTACTAGAACAGTCTACTCATTAGCACAGTCACAACAGCAAAGGAACAGATGCCAAAAATAGTTTCTCCCTGCTTTCTCAATGAAAGTTATTTTTCTCTTTAGTAATAGGAAAAGGAAGCAAAGAAAGAAAAAAAACTATGCCTGCATATGTAATGTGCAAAAATGGTGACATTAATTTTAATTTTTTTTTCCTTTAAACACAGGGATTCTCTCCCACTGAACTTCATCCCCAGCTCTTTTTATTTTTTATTTTGAAACAGAGTCTTCCTAAATTGCATATGCTGGCCTTGAACTTGTGATCCTCCTGCCTCCTCAGCCTCTCAAGTAGCTGGGATTACAGGTGTGCACCATCATGTGCAGGCCAAATTATTCTAGGAAATGAGGGAGCAGTAATTGTTACTTAAAAGATTACTGAATGAGGGCTGGGGTTGCGGCTCAGCGGCAGAGCGCTCGTCTAGCACATGGGTAGGCTCTGGGTTGGATCCTCAGCACCACATAAAAATAAATAAATAAAATAAAGGTGTTGTGTCCAACTACTTCTAAAAAATAAATGTTTTAAAAAAAGATTACTGAATGAACTTATTTACATTTAACATAGTTTTCACACACACAAATCAATGATACTGAAAGAACCTATAATAGGAGGGCTTAATATTTCCATGGGAATAACTCCTTTTGGAATGTCCTCATCTTTTTTTTTATTTTTTATTTTTTGGTGCTGGGGATTGAACCCAAGACCTTATGCATGCACGACAAGCACTCTACCAACTGAACTGTATCCCCAGTCCTTCATTTTTAAAAAATAATATTCAAGCAATGATGTCTTGTTTATTTTAACATTTTAATTTTCTATTTAACATTTTATTTTTTTATTTCACTTTTTATTTTTATTTTGTGATACTGGGGATTGAACCCAGGAGTGCTTTGCCAATAAGCTACATTCCCAGCCCTTTGTATTTTTTAAAATTTATTATTGATTTATTGATTTATTTGGTACCAGGGATTGAACCCAGAAGCCGTTAAACACTGACTCACATCCTGGCCCTTTTATCTATTCATTTATTTTTATTTTCAGACAAGGTCTTGCTAAGTTGCTGAAGCTGGCCTTGTGATCCTCCTGCCTCAGCCTCCCAACAGCTGTCACTATGGGTTGTGCCACCATGCCCCACTTATTTAACATTTGTTTGTAAAAGCCGTGCTTAATCTAGTAACTATTCCACTTAATTTTTAGGCTTGAAAAGAATCTCAACGTTTACTGAAAAGCAGAGAGATGATACAAAGTCCAGTTTCACAAAAGAGTCTTTTCATTATGTTGTACCAGCAGATATCAGGCACAGTTGAACAATTTTTAGGAACAAATCATGGGTTTTAAATTAGAACAAATACCCCAAGACACACAAAAACCACAAGACACACAAATACCCCAGTTTCAAATTGTAAAGAGAATATATTTTTTAAAAGCATTTTTTTTTTCATTGAAATTGAATTACAAAAAACAAAGTCAGTAACCACAGTACATGGTGAATGTAACACTAGAAAACAAGTAAATTGCTGGTTTAATAGGGAGCTAGTTTTCAGGGTGGGTGAAAAGCCAGGTCTGGTGACTCACATTTAATCACCCAATAATGAAGGTGATTAAAGCAAAAAGATTCCATTGGTACATTAAACATTGAAATGCAACACCAAGAACACAGCCCCTCTGAGTCCCTGACAACAAATATCAACCTATTCCCCGAGCAAATCATGCGCAAGAGCAGGGTGTTTGTTATGCCAGCAGCAACGCTGCTGTTGAAATAATAAGCAGGCGATTGTTTCTTCTGGGCTAAAAGAATGAAAATAGCTCAAGGAGTGAATTTTCAAGTGCACGTACAATGTGGTGAGGAACTGGAAGTTGGGACATGGAAAAGTTGAAAGTGGTGAAGGCAATTCACTTACCAGAAAAGAGTATAAAAATAATCAGCTCATTCAGTGAAAACATCATCCAGAATTAGGTCAGCACCACAGACCTAGAAACCTCCTTCCTGTCTCCCACTTCTCTCCGTCCAGGCTGACAGCTCCCCTCCAGCCAACCCGCTGTTGGAAAGCCAGGAAAGAACAGCATCCAGGTGAGAGAGGCCCTCCCCCGTGAGCGTTCACTCTTGTCAGCCTGCCCAGCAGCCTTCCACATCCTGGCCCTAGTAATTTCCAACTGAAAAGAGGGCAAACTGTATACACAAAGAAAGTCTGTTTTGCAAGGCTTGACCCAGAGTAGGCCTTGGAAACTCCCTCCTCTCCATTGCCAGAGAATCCACTAGGAGGGAGGGGAGACTGCAGGATCTAGCTCTGCCCGTCCCCTTCAAAACTCCAGCGGGCTGGGGACTTTACGTGCATTAAATGGCAGCTTCGGGCTGGGTGAAGGGGCCTGCCCCATCTGGTCCTGCTCAAGACTGGCAAGAGCAGAGCCGCCCCTGCCCTGCTCTCCTGCTCTCCTCAGTTCCTCTTCTCTCCCAGTTTCCCCAGATGCCTGAGGCTCAGGTGATGTCTGTACAAGCCTGCTCTGTGTGAGCATCCAACTGCACCTTCCCCCTGCACTCCAACTCCATAATCCTACTTCCCAGGTCCAGTTGGCCCAGGGCCAGGAGCGGGAGATGATCTGATTATTCTAATTCACAATCAAGTGCAAATAATTGACAGCATCCTCTCTCTACCTCAACTCCCCATTCTCCCTTCAAACCAATCTCCAAGTCTCTGTATTTTAGGCAGCACAGAGAAGAGATCTGGGGATAGGTTTGGGGGGCGAGGAGGGGAAGGATTGCCCTTATGTTACCTGATTAATCACACACTACCTGCAAAGCTTGGAAGGAAGCAGCAAACCAAACAAGCAACTTTTTTTTTTTTT